GAGTCAGGCCAATGTTTACTTGTTGTAACTAGACGTAAACACACTTTTGTGACCTGAAAACATGCTGTATTCACCTGCCATGACAGGATATTCAAAGTGCTCGGCTGCTGGGTCCAGGTTGACCACCTGAACGGAGCGGTTTATGGACTGTGAATGCTGGACCATGGTGGAGCAGTAGGTACTCTGAAATGGAAAAACAATACACAAATAAAGGGCCGGTTGTAACCTGAACTTGGTCTATTTGGGTGGCAACCTCATGCCTTAGCTTAGCGCTTTAGCCGAATAGCATAACAAGGTATTTGAGCACGTATAACGGATCGACTGATAACTCACCTTACCGCTACCCGCCGGGCCCATCACTAACTGTGCGTAACGAGGCATTTCGCCTCAATAAAAAAGTGCTGCGGTAAAATTAAGTTGGTTAATTTAGCTCACTTAGCTTTGTTGTATGTACTGATGCTCTAGTACTTCTTCTTCTTGTTCCTGGGGGACATTCACAGCGGCTGTAGGGCCCCGCTACTGCCACCTACTGGTCAGAGTGAGAACTACAATTAAGCACACATTGAATCCAACACTCCCTACTGGATTATGCATTTACTGTAATAAACCGTAATCTGTCAAACGTACTAATAGACGGCAGAAGATATAACGAAGAAATAAGGGAATTAATAGCAGTACTGGATGATGGGAAACACAGTATTACGTTGCTTGGAAAGACATTATGGAAAGTATGAAATCGTATTAATTACTTAAGAGCAACAGGATTAATACAAAGGTATTTCAAAAATACTTTTATAGCTGAAAGTGATTTTTTTAATTATTAAATATATAATAAATCATTATTATTCTTCCTGCCAATCCACTGCTCCACTCCAGTCCAGCAGGTGGCGGTAACGCACCTATAAGCTCGTTAGCCAACCACCATTCAAATCCAAAGAAAAAGAAGAAGAAGAAGAAGAAGCAGGAGCAGAAGGAGCAACAAACAGCTAGCTACACACAACAAATATAAAACTGATGCAAAAGCAGTTCATAATTCACCAACGATGCTGCTGCTCGCCCCCGACGCGTTCTTCTGACTGTACAATCTGCCATCGCTGGAGAGAACAATGTGTCGACACTGCAGGGAGTGAATGGAGCTGACAAGTGGAGCCTTGAGAGAAAGGTGGACGTATTGTTGGTAGGTGAGATCACTCGTCATACTGTGTCTTGTAGTTGCTATGTTGTAGTTCATTTGCTCCATTGTGCCCATTTAAAGCGGCCAGACTCCAAAACCGTCTTGTTGAACCAGGTTAAAATGGTAGCTAAGTTTATGGTTTAGCTACGAGCGATTATGGCTCGGTTGAGCTCGGATTTGTCTTTTCTCGGTGTTCAGTAACTCTGTCCACTGTCCTGCGGCGGAGGAGCTTCCGAAACTGAAACGACATAACGTCGCCTGTCAACGTCAGCGGTGTCCGTACATGTATTTATTATTACAGCGGTGTTGCGTTATTAGCAAGGCGACTCTACGCCGAGGCTAAACTAAGCTAGCAGTGTTGGGAGCAGCAAGTTAATTGTAAGCTTATGGCAGCAATGGCCTCCGAGGTATTCTATAATCTTGGTATTAGACTGTACTTTTGGACATTTGACTAATGTTAATTGTCTACCCGTGTTAGCTACTTTGTTAGAGTTTCTAACAACAACAGTGGCTGAAGACTCGCTAATGTTTTATCCAGTTAATGTCAACAATGACTGTAATGATTGTAGGTTTGTAGCTCAATACTGAAAATGCCACTCGTTTTATACATTTGAATAAGTTAGACATTACATTACTTGGCTCTCACTGGGGATATGGACTGGTATCACTTCAGTCAGATTAGCTTTAGTTCCTGCATGGGGTTCAGTTATTATACTAATGTTTTACATGAGTTCATTTTGAATTCTCTCATTGTCAACATGGAAAACTGGTACCCAAGTGATGAGCTTTCTGTTTGACATCATTGTTTTGGTACATTGGTGTGAGAAAAGTTCTGCTAGTGGAAAATCAAATGTATCAAAAGTATTTTCTAAGTTGTATTTAACAGGAGCATGATGATTCAGGTTATTTAAAAAAACAAAAAATATTTAAAGCTATCCCTCTAAATACTGACAAGAGCCAATATTTACATAATTTGTAGACTATAAATACCAGTCTGTATTTATAGAATAATGAATGTTTCTACTACTACTAATGAGAAAGAAATGTAGTAATAATTCAGTAGTTTACTAATGTAGAAAGTTGTCTTTTACTTTCTGTAGAGAAGTTCAGGATCAGAACAATCCAGTGAAATTCTAACCTCTCTTTTGCCTCTTTGTTTTCTAGTGTTGTAGGCTATGAGTGTGGGCGATGGAGGACAATCAATGTGGGGACTTGGACTACATGATCCAAGATGAGGACACCCTCATTGAGGGTGTCAGCAACCAGGTCTTGTTTGTTGTGGTGCTCAGCATCACCTTCCTTGCAGGCCTCCTCACTCTGCTCTGCAGGTAGGCAGCAAATTCAGGAGGATATTTGTGTCAAGTGGAGAATTACTCTTAACTTTTGGAGAAACTCATTCGAATGGAATTAACTTTTCCGTAGAAGGTGATTCATACAATTCTGGTTCAATCTAGTACAATTTGCCTTATGTAATATATTCCACTGAACACTAAAGTTTTACTGCTTGCTCAGTCTTAAATTTGAGAACCTGTCTCCACAGTTAGTTTGCCTGTAGGCACTGCTTGGTATTATAAATCTTTCTATGCTTAAATGAAAGTAGCCTGTTTTGCAAGTTTAGTTTTGCATCTCCTCTCCTCCTCTCTCTGCCATTTCTTCCGTTGGCTGCTGCCAGGCCCTGTGTGATATAAATGGAAATTTAGATTTAGTATTATGATGAAACCAAGCAAACTTTTCTTGCTGTTTTTTTAATTAGCTTTCCAAATAAGTTGCCACATTAACAATTTGAGAAAAACGTTATTTGTCAGTTTGCATAACTTGTGTGAGTGCGCTCATACACTCATATTTCAGCACAGGAATATTTTGATGCATAATGTCTCTCTTTTGACCTAGCAGACCAGATGAGCAGAACATTCATCCGGAGAATCAGGAGCATGTTCGAGCGGTCCGACAACAGCTCCAAACAGAGCAGGTACACAGGCACATTGTAAATTCCAGCCATTCTGACCAAATATGGTTGGCAAAGATAACATACAAAAATACACAAAATCAGTTTCAATTGTTACTATTCTTTTTCCTTCTTTTTTTGAGTGAATTCATAATTAGACATATAATTGTTGTAAGAATTGCACCTTCAGCACCATTGACAATGGACATTACCTAACATATGTCAAACGATAGAAGATAATTGTTTTCAAATGCCTGCAAAAGTATCAAAAACTATAGATTCAGTTAAAGTCTGAGAATCCTATTGTAATTTGGGTGCTATTAACCCTTTCATACTTCTGAACCAAACGTTTTATTAAGCTATCTCATCAGTATCTTATAACAAGGAAGAAATCTTGAAAATAATACTTATTTTTCTGTAATTGTATACAAATGTATTTAGTTTTGAAACATGTTTTACATATTTGGGCTAGAAAATAGTATAAAGTTTGGGAAGTAAGCTGCAAAGTCAAACAACCAGGAGTAACACAAAAGTTCAGTTTTATACGTTTGCCGTACATTTGTGTTAATTTCAAAATGGTCTGCTATGGGATTTATTACTTAAACTTTGATATGTGAATGAGACTTTAATGTGTTTGATTTCTTTCTGTCAGGATGAAAATACTCAGGCGGAGGCCAGGCAGCAGTATTACACGGACATGTCTTGTCCTGTGTGTTTACAGCAGGCTGTTCTGCCTGTGGAAACCAATTGTGGACACCTTTTCTGCGGTAAGACTGTACAGATTCTGTACACACTGAGGAAAACAAACTATTACGTTATCAAACTGAGAGAAAAGGTGGCGATGCTTGTCACTGCTAGAGACATATTTATCCTCCTATATACCCATCTTGAGTATGTTGTCTGCTGACATGGCTTGGCTTTAGATGATACACAGTAATCAGAATGTAGAATATAGAACAAAAATCAAAATAATCAAAGCATAATTTAAGAGTTAGTAGTTCTTTTATTTGTACTTGTGCTGTGTTCATGTGGTAAAGTGCTGTCTTTCTCTGAATAGGCTCCTGCATTATAGCTTACTGGAGGTATGGCACCTGGCTGGGTGCTATTAACTGCCCCATCTGCAGACAAATGGTGAGACTAAATGTTAATGAACGAATGAATATTGGATGTAGAATAGTTTTTTCCATGCCATGCCCAAAGGTAGCTGCTGTTTACTGGTGCTAATAATTGTTTGCTGTAGGTTATTGTCAGAATCACAGCCACAAAATGAGGGTGATGGACACCATACAATTCTGTATTGTGTCTGTATCATGTATGATTTGTTTTTTTTCCCCCTTGCCCAGGTAACGTTGCTCTTCCCACTATTTCATGAGCATGCCGCTCCTCAGAGTGTCCAGGATGGCGAGGCAGAACCTGTCCTCATATTAAGAGACATTAACGATTATAACCGCAGGTTCTCAGGCCAGCCGAGATCTGTGAGTATACTACAGCCAGATACTGTACATGTTTAGACTGAAGTACTTACAGGTTAGCTTGGCTTATGTGTGATTAGCAAAGATTATTTAAATAAAAATAGATTGATGATTCTACAAGAGACATTTTCAATCTTATAAATGTTCAAAACAGTATCAGATACTATACTTTTGAGCCTTTTCTTTTCAATGTCCCTCCAAACTGTGTCGAATCTGTAGCACTGTTGGTAAAAGATACAAGTATGCAAATGAGGTACTGACTAGTGCAGTGCATTATAAAGTATATTTAGAACAGACTTTTTCATAATATCTTCCCTCCTCTGTTCTTTCAGTTTATGGATAGACTGCGAGATGTGCCCACCCTGCTTCGTCATGCCTTTAGGGAGATGTTTTCTGTGGGCGGCCTCTTCTGGATGTTCAGGATTCGAATTCTCCTCTGCCTAGTTGGTGCGCTCACCTACCTGGCCTCGCCGCTCGACATCCTCCCCGAGGCACTCTTCGGCCTCCTGGGATTCATGGACGATTTTTTTGTGATCCTGCTTCTCTTTGTGTACATCTCTATCATGTACAGAGAGGTGGTCACACAGAGACTGAATGGCTAGGGGCTCACTCATAAAAGGAGGCCTCAGCTCACTCACATCAGGCTCAGCGTGAGGCAGTATCTGAGGTGGACGTGTAAAGGCTGAACAAATGCTCAAAGGACAGTTGATCAATAATGCTGGTTCACTTTGAAGCCTGGGATGTTACCTCACTGCAGAGGGGCTAGCAAAAGGTTGAACTCTGAATGTTGACTCCGTATATATAATTCACCATCAATGGCTCAGAGGTCGAATGAAGTCGAGGCACACAACAATACAGCATAAGAATGGCTGTGAAGTTGTAAATGTCAACTTTGAACCAGACAGGGAAATCGCTGAGAGACAGCCCTAACTGGACACCTAACATCGCGACCGGCCGATTCTATAACAGCATTGCCAAAAGTCAGTCATTTGGTTAATGTGCAAATCATCATAATGCAGACAGTTGTATAATATATGTAATCTTGAATGTACCATATTGATGGCAGTGTCTTGTCTGCATCTGGATCGTTGACTGTCAGACAAATTTGTGTTAGAACCATCTTACTGTGGCTATCACAGCCTGTTTGGTCAATTAAAGTGATGATGCACTTAATATAAGTAACCTGTGACTATGCATAATTCTTAATGACTTGAAAAACACAGATTTTCATGCCTCTAACTGTTTACAAGTATTGATTAAATCTGAACCTTTCTGCATGCTTTCATGTGAAGTGGTGACGCACAGGACAACCTGTTTGTTGCAATAATAACTTCTGAACCGGCAGATTTTAATTCAACATATAAAAGAGGATTGTAAAAGGAAGGTGTCAAAGACTCGCCCAAGTTATGAATGTTAACTTACCATTTCAAAGTTTACCATGTCACTCTAAAGACAATTCTCGGTTTGGATGTTTGTCTCCTGTGCAGATCTCACAGTCTTAATCGGGTTCAAGAGTCAGTGGGTGAATGACTCTATGAACATCTTAAAGCATGGAACATTGGAACATTGGTTTAAATCTGTAAGTAAATAAAAAGCAAAATAATCAATATTTAAAAAATGAAGTTAGCATGTTGTGTGGTATGTGGCAGTTACTTTTGTTTATATTTTGCAAATGGTGTATACTTACTTGGAGCACTAACCTTTTCTCTGGGACTAGATGGATGTAAAATGAATGATTGAGTTCCTATGCTAGTGCACAGTAAATATGGACTTCCCTAGCTTGTGTTGACCAGTCCAGCCAAAGGGAAATATCAAATGTTGGGGTTTATTTTATCAGATGAGAAAAAACATTGATAGATTAATTGAGACAATCATCAAGAGTAGATAATATTTTAAATCTATAAAAATAGAACTGTTATTTCTGTTCCTGTTCCTAAAGTTACTGTGAGTCCAAGGGGGGTCCCGACCCTCCAGGCTAAAAAAATGGCGGCTCCAGAGTGGTAACTGAAACTGTATCCAGACCATTTGCTTTCCTGGGGCTCTATTTGCTGAGCTAGCATTGGCCTTGGTGTTCGTTAATAGTAGTTGAGGGTTGAGGCTCATGTGGTGGATCAACGGTCAACTGTAAAATTCACTCAGTGTGATTGACAGCTTCCCACAGATCACCAAAAAAAGAGACCATCAGTTGCCTCTTGGAATGTTTTTTTTTTAAGGTGTGGCACATGCAAACCTGCGTCATACCTTTTCACTGTTCTTACTAATTAGCGTTTTCCCTTGTCTCTGGGGTGTTCAAGCAGCCACCACCCTTTTGTTTTTGATAGCCAAACAGTGCTGTAAATGCTTCTGCTGTTCTATAGCTGGGAACCGGTTAGGTGGGAGTTTTACTCTGGTGGGAAAATACTGCAGCTGCTGGAAGAGTCAGTGCTTTGGTGCAGCCTGCATCTGAATTTACAACACAAGTGATTTATGACATCAAACACCTCAAAATACATTTAGTAAATATGTAATATGATACCAGGATCTTCATACAAGCTGACACCTACAATATACAAGTCATTTATGTTGCGTTCCCTATTTCACTGTCTCCGCCTTTCTCAAGATCAAGGAATCAAGAAAATGTATTCAGCATTATACAAGACAAGGCTGTAAAACTAAATTAAAGTTAGTAGTTCCTTTATGCTATACGCAGAAAAAGATAATTAAATTCACAGAATAACTTAAAATATAAATAGAATAGATGATTAAAATAAAATAGGAATGAATCAGGTGCATGTTCAGTGAAGGGGTGTAGATGAGACACCTCTTCGTACTATAGTCTGCTTCCATTTTAGCTGAAAGTCAGTGGGATTGTTTTTGAGTTCATTTATTAAACTTTTGCAATTACCCCTACATGAGGTATAAATGTAGTCACATGTTGCTTGCCAATGTGTTTGTCTTGTTTCGGGAGCAAATTGCCCTCTCCAAATGTCAAATCGACCGTGCTGTGAAATCACATGGCTGAAGGAAGAATGCGCTCAATAAGTTGTTCCCAACCTTTTTGTTTGTCTTTTCAAATGATGCAGTGTCTACATATGATATGTGTCACCTGTTATGTATGTCTGCCTGCAGTGACCTCTTTTACCAAAGTAATTGTTTTATACCGTGTTATATTTTAATACACTTTAGAGTCCTGGAGAGGCACAAGTACAACAGAAATGTAATTTTGTGTATGCTAAATATATTTTGTGCTTTCCTATGCTGGTAATCATCTTATGACCCCTTTAATTTAACCTGCTACCATAGGTTGGGAACCACTTCCCTAAATTACTATAATGTCAGAAACATAACAGGTGACTTTTAAGTTATTTTTTGCCCACATCTTTTCTTTCTCCTGGGGTGTGTGGCCCTGAATGTCCCAAGATGACTGCGTGGCAATTAGCCTACTTTGTATTTGATAAATGAATGATAATAATACAGTTGTTTGTTTTTATGTACCGTTCAAGCACTATAAAACAGAAATGGTAAATCAGCAGGTCAATCCAGCCCTGTTCGTCTGTTTGTTTGTCAGCCCTTGAACGTAGCAGTATATGCCACTTTAAAGCGCAGCTTCATATTTGTCTAAATGTCATCCACGCGTTTTACATGACATTAATGTTCCACAAGATTGTTTTTGTTTAATAGTGGGAGTTTTCCTTTATGTGCGGTGCAGACTCCGCCCACCCAGCCCTCCTCTGGCAGACGCCGGAGTAGTGAGGCAGCGAACCCGACTATTGGCCGACAGACTGAGGAGCAGCAGAGAGCGAGAGACCTCTGGAGTACATGAAGCCGACTGTTAACTTCAGGCTCTGTTCACCACACAAAGTCGCTCTACGTTAGCTAACGATGAGTACATCGGAGACACTGGATCGAATGGAGCTCTGTGAAAGCCTCTTGACATGGGTAGGTCTTAAAATGTGAGGTTTCTGGGCTTCTTTTGCGCTGACAGACAGTTATCCGGCGCCGGCGGTGCTAGCGTACGAGGCTAAAGCTAGCCCGATGAGCTAGCTGGGCTAACGTTAGCAGGGTAGGGGAAAATGACACGGTGCTACAGTGGTTACGTATGCAGGCCAGCTGTTAGCTGCGTTAGCTGCTGATGTGTTGCCTGCTAGCCGCCAGCAAACCACCTACCCAGCCAAGACTATAATTTTGGTCCTGTCTCTGCGATCGGGTATTTAGCTGGCTCAACTTTCCTAGCGGTCGGTCGTATGTTGTAAGGGGATCGGATCAAACGACAGACGCTGGCCTTGTTGTGGTTCAACGCTTTTTAACGCAGGCTTTTTCCTCTGGGTTGAGGTTGTACCGTTACAGCTCGGTGTCTGCTTTGAGTCTGAATTCCTGTCATTGTTGTCCAGTGTATCATTATGTCCGCTTTCCCTTTCCCTTCCCCATTCCTCTTTCTGGTCTAAAGATGTCTCATACAGGGTAGCTTACTTAGCTTTCCCCGAGCTTGTAGTTTTAACGATACTGTAAACCGCTCCAGTCAAAGCCTGAGACAGATCTCTAACGTTAAGCTACCGAGAGGAACAAGGCATCAGATTGTAGGATCACATGTTACCCATCGGTGTATGTTTACATTGTTGAAATGCAGCTATGTGACTACAGCTGATATATTTTTAGCTGGACATCTTAAATGTGCTCATGTTGTGGGGTTGACTGTTGGTGCTTTGATTCAATAGTTAGTCCAAAGCAGAGATTGAATATGATAACCAAGCTGATAGACTGTCAGTGTTTGACTAAAGCTCAAACTGTCTTAACTGTAATGTACTTTGAGGCAATGAAAGGGAAACAACTGAATACATACATATCATGCCTCAGCTTGCATCACAAAGCATGACTCTGGATGTAGAAACAGAGTTTTGAAGGGACTGGTTGAGATGGCATCGGTTGGAAACTGTGCATGCATAGATGTGTGTTTTCATATATTTACTATACACTACTGACATTTACGTCAGTGGTGTATAGTGAAAACATGCATCTGTTGCTGTTAAAGTGGAGCTCAGTACAAGCAAGTGACCCTGCTTCTGCTTGGTCATGTGCTTCCTCACAGCGTGCTCGAAATCAATTTGTGGATTCCCTTTTGTGAAATTGAGAAATGGGTCTTTCAGAGCTGATGTGTTTCACGTGAATATTTATATTTTCACTGTGAAAACAACGTAAAATCAATTCACACGCATCCACGTCCAATCTGCACTCTGTATCTGTCGCCTCCACCTTTTGTTGTCATAGCTGGGCTCATGTATGACAACCTAGAATGGCCTTTCTTGTTCCTAGTAATGATGTGGCAGGCAAACATTCCTCACATACCTGTTGACCGTGAAGTCACATCACAGTGTGACTGCTTGTTACTAAAATGTGTGAGGCTGTAGCTCCTCTTGAAGTAGTAGTTAATATATCTCTGAAACTGTTTCTGCTTGGGTCAGTGTAATAGGAAGGCTGAGTGGTTTTGATTGAAGGGCTACTGAGAAACACAAAGCTTGAATTGACTAATTAGTATGTTATTAACAGACTTATCAGAAGCCACAGTACGACGGTAAGTCAGTTGTGTTAACAATTGTAGTCTATTGGGTCATGAACGGCGAGCATTTTTTATATTTTATATTTTTATATTTTATTGTCTGTT